GGAATACATTAAGTTCTTTAGGAAGAAAAAAAATATTTTTTTCTTGAGTAGCCAATACATTAGTTGTCGCCAACAACAACATCAACGAGAATTTCGAGAAAATTCCATATTCTATTTCGTAACAAAATGTCAGTTTGTATAGGCTACAATTCTAAAACATTTTTATTATTATTAAACTGTAAACATAAATTGTTTTTTCTTTTTTTTTTCTTTTCTTGTTCCGAATGACATCTCTGACCACACGCTTCAGTATCAGACTGGGTGCATGCATTTCTGCAAATTATTAATTTGTGCTTAAAGGTCTAGCGCCTTTTGAAATCTCTCTCTTTCTTTCATTTAATTTTAATTTTTTAATTTTAAATTCACTTAAATTTAATTTTCATTTTAAATTCATTCTATAAATAGATGTCTTTCTGATGTATACAGTAAAAAAGCATAATAAAGCCCTGTCTAAAAAGTGGGGTGCCATCTTTTAGGCTACAGCAGTAGGCCTATATGTAGGCTACTCAATAAGCTAATTTCTCATTTGGCCTATTATTAGTTATTCCCCGATATCCGCATGTAGAGTTATTTTTCAAGAGTTTGGTCCATTCACAAACACAGGCACTTACAACCGACTAGCTACTTATTGGGGAGGGGGTTGGGGGAGTGATATTTGTTTTATTAGCCTACATTTTGTATTTACATTAGCATACATCTCATTATTATTATTATTATTATTATTATTATTATTATTATTATTAATATTATGTTAACTATAGTGGGAGAAATACCAGTGCTGTCTTAAATTAGTAAAAATATATTTGACTAAGTTTAAAAGGATAAAACACCTTTTCTTTTAGGGACAACGAATGAAACTGTACAGTACGTCATCCAAAAACACAAGATGTATGTGTATATGTAGAATACATAATATGAAAACACACTTATACTTTTTATGCATGCTGACTGCATAATCCGAATCAGAATCAGAATGAGCTTTATTGCCAGGTATGTTTACACATACGAGGAATTTGTTTTCGTGACAGAAGCTTCCACAGTGTAACAGAATGACAGTGACAGAACAAAAAAACAGATAAAAAAAAAAAAATAAAAAAAAAATAGAACAACTAAAATAAGGAATAAAAGATATAATAATAAGTAATAATTAATAAGATTCAGTTTTAACATTTTGACACTTAAAACGGGAGGTTGGAAAAAACACTCTTGCTGCTTTCTGTTCATGCTAATGTGCAGCAGGAATCTCAAAACGTCGTTTACCTTTTCTAGGTGTTGTTGCCTTACACGTGCCTGTAGCAGAGCGCATGCGCCGTAAGGTGGTCCTCTGTTTTTATTGCCAGGTGAGTAGATTTTGTTCAGGTAAAGTGGATTTTTGCTTAAGGACACAAGACCCAATGAGATAACTCTGTGTGATGTACCACATTCAGAAAGAAGACACAAGAATGTCATTAATGGGCAAAATGGGAGACTGGCAGGTACGTTCTTTTTAAGGTATATGAGGGTGATGAAGGTGCACGTTTTTACCTTTTTATAGCCTATAAGTGAGAATTAAGTCTTCTCCACGGTAGCTTTTCAGAAAGGTTTTCCAGACAGTACTAGTCATTAACCAATGTGAATAAAATGCTATACACAAAACCTGTAATTCACGCAGGTAAGTTTGCGTTTGAGACGGTGAAAGATAAGAGTGTAGGCAAAGGCGAGACAGCGGTGAAAAAAATAAAATAATAATAATTTCATGATACATTTTCTCTAAAATAAAGTACCCTCGGGGTGGCTGGTGAGAGAGTCAAAATGTGTTGTTAGATATTGGATAAGCAGACAGTTTATTTCATTTTGCTCACTGGTGTAAATGTTTTAATTTGACTCACTCATTTCCGACATTGTTGCAATTTGGTCATTTTGTGCAGACCTACATAACGAATTTTCCTACAGTAACATAAACGGGACATACTTAATTTATTTATTATTTTATCTATAAACTTTTTTTTATCCCTGCAACAATAAGTCACAATTCATCCTTTGTGTCAAACACGATTCTTAATTCGATGTGACCCATCATGACATTGTAAAAATAAACTAAACAAAAAAGAAAATCAGAAAATAAACGTGAATCAGTCATTTTGCGAATAGCCTACAACACCATAAATAGCCTAACTGACAGACTATGTTCATTTAGATACGAATACTGTGAATGGACAATTTTCCCAAGATTGCCAAATAGTGCTAAGAATTAAGACTAGTTTTGCTTTTCTTTTGTGCGATTGGTTTCAGTGACGCGGACCCCCAATCAATAAGCAGAGAACAACAAAGCAGCACCCATCCATTTCTATTGCGCGTTTCTCTGCCTCTCTTAAACGTCATTGTGTCTTAGTTTCTTTCGGCCTCTCATTAATGACAACTGGACTCACCCCACCAAAAATGGTAATGGAGATAAGGGAGAGACAACGCCTTAGACTCGGCGGCCTGTCTCCTGACCTCATTCACATTTAACAAGCCATGTTGTTGTGTTAATTATTTACATTTATCAAATTGCGCCGTTACACGCACTAAATAGATGTATACCTACTGAAGAATAGACTTTTTTTTGCGTAACACTATTGAGAGTATTTTACAGGCCCAAGCTCACTATAGGACTAAAACAACAGTTTACAGTTGTAAGACTGGAATCAGTGTGCTTTTGCCCACTAAAACACGTGCATGCAGCAGTTTAACATTGTTCAATATATATTTTACAGGCTGCATTTGGGTTGTAGATTCGAAAACGTAGAACGTCTTGAAGAATGCATGTATGCAAAGCGTATGGCCTTTGATAAAAAAGAGAAATCTTTTTAATGGTTCATGTTATTCTTGGACTATCAATTCCGCTCTGAATTAATCCAATTGGATGATTAATTCAAATGAAAAGGTGAAGTCCTCCTTCACCACTGATATTAACCCCTGCATTTACAGTTCCCTTTTGAAATACAAATGAAACTCAGTAAAGGTATTCTTATTGGAATTCTCGTTGCAGTATACCTGTGTATATTCATTGGCTTTGGTCTCTTGATATGCTAATGAGGGTTATTACAGTAGAGCTCGAGTCTCTCTCTTCCACCATTAGAGGGAGATCTGAGCGCGCAGCTCGAGCCTTGTGCACTGTGTCAAACTCAAGCGAAGGCGCACTTCACTCGATCCACAACCAATGAAAATGCTTTGGAAATTAACTGATAATATTAAATATGAAGACTGCGAGGTAAGCGGCTTAACCAGGCTTTTAATACAAGATATTGCATGATATTTACCATAATTCTGAACGGTTTAACTTTTAAATCAGTCAGCTTATATTTTAATTTTTTTCTTGCTGTGTGTATCATTAAATTTAACACAAGAACAAGTGATAAATAACATACTGCAATACTGCATGACCCAGAAAACATGTAATTTTCCAACAACATAATAATAATAATAATAATAATAATAATAATAATAATAATAATAATAATAATGCACGTAGGCTATCACACATTAAATGCCTCTAGAATTTATGTAGAACACAAAAATCATTAAAACGATGTATTATCGAAATATAGACAATAAACAAACTTACCAAACGTAAGTTTTGGTAAACAATCAAACGCAACAGTGGATCATTTCGTTTTCAAATAAACGTATTTGTCAAATTATTATTTTTTTAATTTCTTACTTGTCTTTCCCCTCTAGTATTTGGCATGATTTGTTTGGTGAATGCAGTAATACATGGGAGTAGTTTTCGGAGTGGTGAAGCCAGTAAAACGTGTTTTCGCTAGTTTCTGGAGAATCACACACGCCATGATCAGGAACGAATATCTGCACTCGGCGTGTCCTCGTGAGTTTCTTTCTCTCGACGCACAGACTCGCATTAATTGTAATAAGTAATTACTTTCCGTTTCATAATAATCGCGCGTGATATGAAAGCTTAGAGGGAAGTGTGTAGGATGAGTATACACGCGTAAAGTTGGTTGAATATTTGCTCTGGCGGTGAGTTAAGCTGCGTCGGCGTGTGTTGATTCGTCTTGGCCGTGGTTAAATTCGTGGTGAGGGATGGTTAGAGGGCCATGGAGCACGAAAAGACGAAGACTAATGTGAAAAACAATGAGGTAGACGAGCATCCAGTGAACAGTAAAAATGTGCCAACCCAGATGCCCTCAGCGTTTGCTGGATTTTCACCAGAATCAGAGGTGCACATTGTTTCCTTCCTTGTGTTCTTCCCCCCTCGTTCGGTCTTTCTTTCACTTTTGCTTGCCCTCGAACCTTTTAAAATGTCCCCCCCTCTCTGATTCGTCAGACGCAGGAGAATGTCCCTCTTTTGTCTCTCTCTCCCTCTCTCACCCACTCACTCTCTCTCTCTCTCCTCATCTCTGATTAGATATACTGATTCCCCATTCAATGGACGTCATTTAGTGCAGTCTGCCTTGAGTTGCTTCCTCGCTTCACGATCGATTTCCGACCATTCTTCTCTTATTAAGTATTCGTGTAATATTAATAGTCATGAATATCTATACTATTAGGAGTGCAGAGGAAGAGGCAGATCTGTGCTAACATGAGCTCAAACGAGGGAACAGTTCACCGACAGAGCCGGGAGACGCCAAGGGGATCTAAGAAACTTTAGAGAAAATCATTGCATCTAAAGAGCAGATGAAGAACAGTGGGAATTTACCCAGATTCTGATGGATTATTGCTTTATTTGAACGCTGGCCACCGCCACCTCGCCCTACAATTATCATTGGCTTGATTTAATTTGCACGTTCATTTTTCGTTTTGTCCCTCTGAAATTCTTGTCTTTTGAAGTCCTCGGAAATCATCGCTGATGTTAGTGCACAGTTTTTCCGCGATGGTGAGTGACTGTCGGGAGTAAAGATCTGAAGACTGCGCTCAACATTTACTATCCGATTGTTTTTTATTTGATTTTAATTATCATTATTAGTTTTATCCGGTCGTTTTGTCTGTTCCATCATGCAAGCGGTTATTGGTAGCATCAAATGCTATTACAACGACTTTATACTTAATGTGAGCTCTGGTTATTTTTATTTGCCTCTCAGTAGGATCTTTAATTGCTGAATGAATAAACCATCGATGTACATTTTAATGTAGAATAATATATTAGCCTATTCTATATGAATATTATTCTTATTTCAATGTAGTGTTGTTGTTTTTGATATTTTTGTTCTTGACCAAATCAAAGGCATGTTCGGTTTTCTGTTGAAATAAATTACTGTATAAGTGCGATAACAAATCTCTCTTTTTTTCTTAAATAGTAATAATACAAAAAACAGCACTAAAACAGCACTGTATCTTTTTTTCTCCTAAGGATCGCCATGACGGGACCAGCAATGGCACAGCCCGGTTACCCCAACTGGGCAGCATGGGCCAGTCTCCGTACACCAGCGCTCCTCCGCTCTCTCACACGCCCAACTCAGACTTCCAGCCGCCATACTTTCCGCCACCCTACCAGCCCATCTACCCGCAGTCTCAGGACCCTTACTCTCACGTTAATGACCCGTACTCCATCAACTCTCTGCACGCCCAGCCTCAGCCACAGCACCCGGGCTGGCCTGGCCAGCGGCAGAGTCAGGAGAGCAGCCTGCTGCACCAGCACCGCGGGTTACCGCATCAGCTGTGCAGAGAGTACCGCAGAGAAGTGCTACTTCCCTCGGGTCACGGTATTGAGACTGGACTCACGGATTCAATCCCTATCCATGGAATACCTCACTCTTTAGAAGATGTTCAGGTAAGGAGAAAATCTTAAACCTTATAACATGTAACCTTCATACTCCAAAGCCATTATTCGGATTTGCTGCTGGTGCTATTTTCTGTAGAGTCTCGGACAGTCAAATATCAGGTCACATATTTAAATTGTTCTTAAGTTGTTGTTTTATTGAATATATTATGGTAATGCACAACAGAACGATTTTTTGTTGGAATAAATTGGTTAAGTTGGTAAAAAAAACATGTGGAAGTTTTTAAATTGTATTTAAATGTATATTTGCAAGTGGTGATCAATTATGTTCGATATTTTTGCCTTGATGGCCTATGATAAACGTGGCATGTTTTGTGAGGAAAACAATTTAGGGGAAAAAAAGTTATTTTATGTAAAATTCTATTTTAAACTACAGCGTGATTAATATTGTCTGCCATTTTTGGACGTGATTCTTGGCTGCCCCCCTTTTCATCAGTAATTTGATTGCATTGTGCCTGCTGAAGAGATCTGACGAATCGAGTCTGGACAAAATTCTCTGTTCCACCATAACTGCATGCTTTATAGGTTCGCCTCGTTGATTTTTTTGGGTAGATAACATTCAAATAAATATATTTACTATTATTATATTTTATGATATAAAACAATATCATTCAAGCATTTGCTATTTTAATTAGATACTTTAAATAGTAGGCTACAGACGTAATTAATATGGGTCAACATGTTGAAGATCAAGGAATTCACATCCCAGACCAAACTGTAATCAAGAAAGGTAAGCAATTTCCTCTCAAATACCGTATGTGTTTCCACCAGCAGCTCTCCGCTCGTAAAGTCTACCCTTGCTTGCTGTGAGACAGATCGGGTTAATTTGTAGGCCTTGAGATAGCCTGACGATAAGGCACAAACCATTTTAACCAAGTGTTCCATAGCGATAACTATTCGTGTAGCTAATATGTGTGTGTTAATGTGATGGTGCTTGACTTAGCTTAGTCTGTGACTAAATTTAAAATGGTAGCCTTTAATGAAATTTGCTGAATGTTTCATTCAAAGATGATATGAGAAACGCGTGTAGATACTTAGTTTACTATGAAACACATTTGTTAAAGTAAATTAAATATATGTCTACGGTGTAAATTTCAGTATAAGTCATTATTTTGCAATTACGTGTCTCTTTGTTTCGTTCGGATCGCAGATGGTCAAAGAGGGCTGCAGGAGAATGAGTGTGTTGAGATCGAATTGTTTTCTCATATTTACGTGCGCTGTGGTTAGATTTGATTTTCTTCGTTTTGACAATGTAAAAGCTTTGACATGTTAAATTTGATGCACCGTGTATAAATCCACAAAAATACACGTTGCACATACACCTAATAATTGCGATCTCACGAGTTCGTTTAACTCCTCTTGTCTCTATTAGTCTCCACTGAGCTATTAATGTCACTAGTGATCTATCTAGTAGTGCCTGTGCTTTTGTTTCCGGTTAGCACATAAAGAAACAACGGGCTCTGCAGCAGGATTTAGGCCGGGACACTTATTTGTAAGAGCTTGTGAGTCTGAGTGTGTGTATTTCGGATTTGTGGGTGTCATTCAATGTGCTTGAGTGGCTAGGTTACCGACTGTTTAGAGATTAAAACTAGTTTGTAATTATAAGAAATAATACGCAGTTTTATTTGTCGGAAGTAGCCTATTGGATTAAAATTTATTATTATTATTATTATTATTATTATTTAATAGTAAAATGCAATAGTAAAAATACATATGTATATAAGTATATGTTAATAAACATTAAGCCTATATGTTAATAAACATTTCCTTGGATTATGCCACTTTTGTTACTCTCTCTCTCTCTCCGTTTATCAGTTTCTGTTTTATGAATTCCAACAAATAACAGCTACACTGAGCAGTTAGTGGAAAATTTGAGGCAATGCCATGCTTGTTGAACTGTCATTTTCTCCGAGCTTAGTGTGAAGTCACCATTGCGATAATATGAAATATTTTGATGGCTGGGCCACTTCATTACTTGGGGTATATTGCAGCAGTTACATTCATGAGATGAATGAAAAGCTATTGCTGTATCTATTTTCCTTCCTCTCTGATAAGACCATATTGCCTTTGATTCCACATAGGCGTGCAAGATGATGTGCAAATAAACAGATATGTCTAATCTTACTCAAAAGCTTCCTGCTGAATAGCAATTCATCTTTTTTTCCATTTGGTTGGTGCTGTAGACTGAAATGGGGGGCCTAATCATGTTCTTTTTTTTTTTTTCAAGGTCCTGTTTCCATATCCAAGAACAACAGCGTCTCTGCCATACCGATACATAAAGACGGGCTTTTTGGAGGTGTGGTAAACCCAAACGAAGTGTTCTGTTCGGTTCCGGGTCGTCTGTCTCTTCTTAGCTCAACGTCAAAGTACAAAGTCACAGTAGCGGAGGTGCAGAGACGCCTTTCTCCGCCTGAGTGCTTGTATATATATATATATATATATATTATACTTGTAGTGGCCTACCCAACTGCAATGAGCACACGCTGTAATATCTTAATGCTACACGAGTTAATAGACACTTGTAACCTCAGTGTGGCATTTATATTTCACGTGATGACAGTGGGGAAATAAAAATGTGTTTTATTTATTTAGATTTTTACTTTTGAAACATTCCATGGCATCCCCTAAAGCAAAATGTCTTAAAAAGTAGAGGTCTTTCTTTTAGTCCTTTAGCATAAAAAGTAACTTGAAGTGCTGTTATCTAAACTAAACAGGTCTCTTGGGGGACAAACGACTGATTCTTCTTCTTCTTTTTTTTTTTTAAATTATTCAAGGTTATGCGTGCTCCGGGCTATTATAAATATTATACATTTTAATATAAATTATATGTAAATATATAGCATGTATAATGTATAGCATATATCATGAATAGCAGTAAGATAAATAATGATAACATAATTACAACACGTATAATGACATTTAATAACATTTTTTTGTAATTTACTTCAAAGGGCCAAATCTAAGAATGGCGGAAGATCTTTAAGAGAAAAACTAGATAAAATCGGATTAAATCTACCAGCAGGGAGACGCAAAGCTGCCAATGTTACTCTCTTGACGTCACTGGTGGAAGGTAAGTTTCCTGATAAATATGCATTTTTAATAAAGCAGGTGTTTATTGCTGCTACATGAGAGCCACTCTTAATCAGCATTTGCATTCATCCGTGAAAAGGAGAGAGTTTGTCTTGCAAGCAACAAAACTGAAGAATAAAAGAAAAGAGAACGGATTCCAGAGATACAATTTGGAAAACAATTTTGTGGGATTACAGGAACCCCCCCACCCCACCTCCTTTATACGTTTAGCAGCACCACTTGTTTTTAAATTTGAGCATGGTGTGAATTCGGGTGTCTTTGTAGGGGGCCTACTTTGTGTAATATTTGCAATGTTGTTTCATGGCACTTTGTTTTATGCAGTTGCTGGATATATGGTACCACAGCTGTAATCAGTATGACATGTTATTATTATTATTATTATTATTATTATTATTATTGTGTGGATTTTAGCCTGCTTGATGCAGTTGACCTGTAGGTTGAAAGCCTATTATAAAATATAAATTAGTTAATTATGTTGCACTGCGAAGATGCCATTGCTGTTGAATAAATCCATTTTGCTTGCAAAGTTGGAGGTGATTATTCCGTGCAGTCTTTTTTTTTTTTTTCAAGGTCCTGTTTCCATATCCAAGAACAACAGCGTCTCTGCCATACCGATACATAAAGACGGGCTTTTTGGAGGTGTGGTAAACCCAAACGAAGTGTTCTGTTCGGTTCCGGGTCGTCTGTCTCTTCTTAGCTCAACGTCAAAGTACAAAGTCACAGTAGCGGAGGTGCAGAGACGCCTTTCTCCGCCTGAGTGCTTGAACGCTTCCCTGCTCGGCGGGGTCTTGAGAAGGTTATGTGTGGGTTTTGTCCTTGTCTGCTTGATGCAGTTGACCTGTAGGTTGAAAGCCTATTATAAAATATAAATTAGTTAATTATGTTGCACTGCGAAGATGCCATTGCTGTTGAATAAATCCATTTTGCTTGCAAAGTTGGAGGTGATTATTCCGTGCAGTGGTATTTGGTGTGCCATGAGTTTTAAAGGTGAAAGCTGGAGACGGTTCATTGGTTCCTGTTAATCATTGCCGCTGAAGACTGAATGTTATATTCATCGTGCTTCATTGAAATTTAGTCTTGTATGGTAATGAGCCTGAAGAAATGTATGATTCATGCGAGATAAGGGCGAGGGGGTGGGGGTGGTGGACACACAAGCAAACGCTGATTTAGTCAGAGGACACTGGCTTTCTGAAGTGCTGTTATTGTTTATCATCTACTCCATTTTATGGAAAGCAGTTTAGTAGCTTTGATGCTAATTGGCGCATGCGTTCTTCCGGATTCTAAGCTTATGACAGGAAGGTTCGCAGTAAAAATCCAACTGTTTCAGGAAATTAAAACCAAAAAAGAAAAAGAAGAAGAAGAAGAAAAGCCAAACACACATATCTAGTCCGAGTAGGCCTAACCTATTTTACATGGCTAGAGTATAAGAAGGAGGTTTACATTTAAAAAAAAAACTGTTTTATATAGAGCATCCTTCTAATATTGATAAAAGGATCACGAATCAATGACATGTCATTTGGAGTCTGGTGTTCTATATCTGATGTTCTGTTAATCTCACAAGGAGGGCAAATTTTGATGCATGCATTTGACAGAATTCAATTTTCTATAAGGTAACAGAAAATAAATGTGCATTAACGATGTCAGAATTGATAAATACCGATGTCCTGCTCAGTGCCCGAGGACGTTAATTAGATGACAATTATGAAAGATGTTAAATACTCTACATTTTATTGCAGTAACATGTTACATATACTGACTCTCATTTTCTTTTAGGTGAAGCGGTGCATCTGGCCAGAGATTTTGGTTATGTATGCGAGACTGAGTTTCCAGCCAAGGCGATAGCTGAATACGTAAACCGACAGCATTCCGACCCAAACGAACAAGTCCAAAGAAAAAATATGTTATTGGCAGCGAAGTAAGTGCTATTCTAACTATTTAGCGTAGATGTCAACGCGCATTTCACTGTTTATGACAGCGTCTTTTTTTTTGGTAATTGTCGTGTTGTATTTAACACTAGATTGAAATGAGCTTTCCGTTAGATACACAGGTGCCACTATCTATGTGGGCTATAGCTTTTAATAAATATGGCTGGAGTCAATGTCTGCATTTTGGAAACAAGCGGTTTCGTAAAATACAATATTTGCATTATTCGCAACCTGTAACGAATTAGTAGGCTATTTTTTCGTAAATTAATTTTTAGATTTCCTGCAAAATAATAGGCTAAATAAATAATAACAAAAAATAAATAAAACAAATAAACAAACTATGAACATGCGCACCACTCTGAATTAAAATATATTAGGCTAATCTTAGAAAAGGAATAGCGCTATGACACTCTTCTTTAAATGTCATGGAGCCTAACTTGTAGGTGAAGGCTAATTCAATTCTTACGTCTCCATTTGACGTATTACTGACAAATATGCGACTCTCTTTTCAAACTAAGCTTGAGATGTCCATCGCTCTGATGGACACTGCCATTGATTAAGGGACACATAAGCACATAGTCTCAATACTGTCTTACTCTAATAAAGCACATAGCCTAGTTTTAATTCTGACTTCATACCTTCAGCTGTAATTAGGTTAATCCTGACACGCATCCTGCATTGTGTCTCCTTCTAGACAAATCTGCAAAGAGTTCACGGACCTGCTCTCGCAAGACCGCACGCCCTTGGGGAATTCACGTCCACAGCCCATTCTTGAGCCTGGGATTCAGAGCTGTTTGACCCACTTCAGTCTTATTTCTCACGGATTCGGGACTCCGGCCATGTGCGCGGCCCTCACGGCGCTGCAGAACTATCTGACGGAGGCCATTAAAGCCATGGACAAAATGTACCTGAACAACAATCCTAACAGTCACAACGAGACGGGGTCGAAGGCGGGTGACAAAGACGAGAAGCACAGAAAGTGATGTCCAGCTTCCACATCCCAATTAATGACAAAATACATATGTAACAAACACTAGTGATCAAGATGAAACACTGAACGCAGCACCTCCCGATCTTGACATTTTGAGACTTTTTTAAAAATAATATCCTAATAATAAAAACAGTTCACTTTGGGATTCGTGGACAAGGCATTTCTTTAAATCAAAACAAAGCAGTGTGCCAATAAAAGGAGTAGGCTATAGATCTGCCACAGCAGGACTTTTCATGAACTCCCTTTATATGAGTTCAACGGACTGAAATTCAGCGATTTCCCCCCAGTATCCCCATTTACGATTGTAGCCATGTGACAACAAGAAGCTGAAAGAGGAAGATTTTTTATCAGTATTGTGAATCATAAACTTGAAAGAAATCTACAGCTCCATGCCATGACTTCAAGAACTGACTTTTCACTCGACCAAGCGACCAACTTGAAATTTGAATTTCAACACGATTCACGGTTATATGAGCGAATCTGTGTTCATGTATGTATATATTTATTTATGTGTAATTTAATGGGAATTGTAAATATGGTACGTCTGTTCAAACTTCTTTTTTTATTTATCTGGTGCCTCCTGTTTTAGTGGGTTTGAATATTCGCTTAGTTCTTCATGTGGTTTTATGGTTCTTAGAAAACAGAAGTTTGGGGTATTCTTCTCTGGGATATTTTAAATTAAGCCCTCTTGTAGCATGTTGAGACGACACTGAAGCAAGTGAACAAATTCAAAGAAATAAACATCAATTTCTCTATATATTATCCTTATGCCATTCAGTTTAGATCCAAAAAAGGTCATTGCAGAGACCCCAACGACGCTAGTTTTGTGTTTCTATCTTCTTGTTTTTATACGAGCTTTTTATGTGTTGTGCTAATCACCTCTTGTTCTTCCCTCAAAGCACCACAAGAGCAATAAATGGATACTGTCTTAAGAATTCTTCTTCTTTTTCTTCCTTCCTTCCTTTTTTTTTTTAATTATATTTTTTTTAATATAAATTTAACATTTGGGACTATCTGATATCTTGTGTGTCCATTGTCTAAATTGGAGGCGGTTTTATCTGTATTGTATAAACCTGTGCTGGCAATAGCTCCCTTGCCTGTCAATGTATTATAGTTCTTTGTTGCCCAGAAAAAATTAAATAAATAAAAATAATAAAAAAAAACTAAAAAATAAATAAATATTTGATACGCTTCATGTCGATTTTTATTCATTCCTTTTATTATTTACTGCTTGCTGCGACGTAGCCTATTCCTCTCTCGCTCGTTCGCTCGCTCCCCCCTCTCTTTTCTGTTCAGCACAGTTACTGTAATTGAGTTTAACTCTCCCTTGACGATTGCTCCATGCAATAAGCAGTTGAACCCATTGTTTCTTTCAAGTATAATAATAATAATAATAATAATAATAATAACAACAATAACTTGCTTTTAACTCTTAGTTCAGAGTACAGGATCGTTCAAATATGGCAGGGAGCTTTTTGCCAAGCCAAATGACACAGAAAACAACGAATTCTCTTTCGTGTTTGAAGTGAATGTGTGTAGTTTTAGCCCTGGAGCAAGAGCGCTCTTTAAATCAGTCAGATGTAGAATCCAGCTGAAGGTTAGTGCAGTTGCCATTTCCATGCCTTTATTTGTAGACGTCACCTTACTTCTAAAACACTACTGTCACTATGCTAAATATTTATGTAATTAAAATGCAGATCTATAGTTTGCTGGAATCAGTTTACGGTTCGTTTGAACGAAATTGTGGGCATGGCACTTAAACGTTAAAACAAAAAGCAGCATGCATGTCGTAATTTTACTCTTCCAATTTCGTTTAGTCATTGGGCACACTTGCAGATAATGTCATGCAGGCACACGTATGGTTATTTTGTGCATTGCATAACTCAGATTCAAATAGAGATTGATTGTTTATTGATAACACGCCCCGGAAATCAATCTCCATTGGAGATTGCTGGATTTGGCTGAATTCTGGTCATGTACAGCAGACGTCTGTCATGGCACTGCAAAGAGCTGCCTGCACAATATTTTCACCGTAGTGGCCATTTATATATATATATATCGTTTTTTTAATGTTCTCAGTCTGTTCGACTCAGATGCAGTTGTTTTCAAATAACATGAACGGAGCCTAACTGTACATGTCCTTGGCATAATTGCAATGAACAGTGCAGCAGCAGGTGAAGCGAGGCATTGTCTGTCAAGACTGTTTTTGTTGGCTGCGTCTCCGATTGTGTGTGGGATTCTAACCTCGGGCACAATAGCTCTCTCAGAAAGGATACCCGGCTGTTCCTCCTGTTCAGGCGCAGAAAAACAGTCATGAATAGTCATTTTAAGGGAAATCACAATCATGTTAAATCGTATTAATCGATATTAGGAATTTCTTCACGTGCATGTGTCATTAACGCTAATGTCATTGATTAAACATATTAGAGGCTGAACAATTTTTATTTTTTTTAACGCAGTGAAAGCATTTGTATATAGCTACCACACAAGCATGAGCGTTATGCCTTTTTATTTATAAAAAAAACACCAGACATATCCCGTGTATTTACGTCAACGCATAAACCACATAGAGATCTTTTGAAATCTTTTGGAATTTTATTTATTATTATTTTTAATTATTATTTTTATTATATATATATATAATTTTTCTATTTTATTTTTATTTTTTTATTTTATTTAATTTTTTAGTTTATATATTTCAATTTATACTTACCGGTAGTTAGTTTTAGAATCAAGAAAGTTTAATTTAGTTTTGTATATATATATATATATATGTATATATATATATATATATATATATATATTAAGAAATAATAAACTCAGTGTGCCATAGTAATATTTTTCCTTTTCGTTAATAAAAATTAATTGTAGGATGCAAAGCGATGAATAATTGTTACTACGTATGGAAGTATGATGAATGATGAATCAAATGGAAACAAATAGCGCTAATGCCTCAAACATGGAAAATGTTTATTTGATTGCGGTTACAAGTTATTATAGGCTATATTGCCTCACGCAAAATGACTGCTTATCTAAATCCTGACGCTTAGGAATGTTGTAGGAAGGAAAAAACGCATTGTTCGGGACAAATGACACACGTCCCCAATCGAATGAAGTGATTCTATTTCAAAGAAGTTTTCAGTGGGGCGTAAAATGGTTAATTGTGTTGGACTCGTAACTTCATCACCCACTCAACTGACCCCTCCCGACTAAATAGCGGACCCCCTTAATGTCAAAAGAGGCCAGAAGCGTCATCAAATCACCATGATTACTTGAGACATAAGGTAATCGATTAGTTAACATTAAGTGCCTTTGAATAAACAAATTATTCTAAATAAGTGGACTCGTTTATGAATTCAGAAATTTTGGGTTTGGATATAGAATGAAGTCTCT